CAGGCAGTGCTGGCGAGGGGTGCCGAGCCTTCCCCCGGCTCTGTGCGTCTCTGCGGGTCCCCTCTGGGATGCTGGATGGACAGGTTGTGCCTGGCAGAGCCCCTGACCTGCCCCCTGCCCGGAGCCAGGCTGGTTCTCCAAGGGCTGGGGGAAGGAGAACTTTCCTGCCCATCACTTGGAGCCAGCCTGGTCCTCGGGGAGGGCTGGAGCCCACTGTTCATGCCCACCCTAGAAATGCAGCAGAAGGAACTGTCTTCTCTCCATCCCTCATCAGCTTCAGCCTAAGGGTGAAGCACCAACTGCAGATGCCCCTGCTCGGTGCTAGCTGTGTGGTGGCACAGGTTTTTGTGTGGGAGGGCAAAACGGGAGTGAAATCTCTCACCTTTTGGTGCCCATGAAAGTAAAACTGTCTCAGAGCTTTTTGGGGGTGCCAGCACGCTGAGGGTGAGGAGATCCCGAGCTCCTGGCGGGGTATCAAACCCAGGCCATTCAGTGCCGGGCTGCGGTGGGATCTGTAGGGTTTTGGAAAGGGGGAGCAATGGGGAAAGCCATCGAAAAGCCGTCCAGTCCGGGGGTCGGGAGGCTGGCTTGGGTTGCTTTGAATGCAGCGGGGCTGAGCTGGGTGGCGCTGAGCCAAGCCTGACCTAACCAGCTTACTCCCTGCTTTCGGTACTGCCCGTGCAAACACGCCGAGGCCTGAAGGTCACGGCCACGGGAGCGAAGGTCTGGGGATTAGCTGCGCGCAGAGCACGGCTCCTCCCGGGACTGCTCACCGAGCCCCGAGTCCCGGGAATGACCGTGGCCCCCCTGGGTGCCGGAGCCAGCGTGGCATCAGCCCCTCGGATGGGTGCCAGGGGAACAGAGGGCTGGCTGGGAGCTGCACATCCCGTACCTGCTGCTTCTCCAAGGTCCAGGAGGAGAGATAAGCACCTGCTTGTCCCCCACATCATCCCTGATTTTCCTTCTGGGTGTCGCTCATGTTGGTCAGTGGGTTGCTTGTGTCCCCTGCAAGCATGTCTGGCTCTGCTTTCGAAGGTTTGCAAACTTCTGCCGAGCACCTGGTGTGGACATGCCCACGCTCCTGGCAGGTCGGCGACCGTGCTCGGCCGAGCACGCAGGGCCCCTCCTGGGCAGGGAGTCAGTGCTGGCCCCACTGAAACAGAAGTTTCTGACCTAGTGCGGGGCACACGTGCACTTCATAGAGCCAGGAGATGAGCTCCAGAAGTCTGATGCCGCATCGGGGCATCACAACTGGTGTGATGATGGGTCTCCAGGCACTGATGTCATCAGCCATGAAAGGAAAATGCCATCACACAGCATCCCCAGCACAGCTCTGTGGAGCCCTGTCTCCTTTCGGAGCTGTTTGGGTGCTCTCCCTGGGGTATGTGGAGGAGAGGGAGATGCATGTGGGTGCTGTGGGACCTGGCCCTGCTCTTCCCATCCTGGGAGGGAGCTGACAGCAGTTCTCAGGCCAAGAAAGGCTGGGGACTTGGGATCTGTGGGATGCAGGCTGCCGACCGTGCTCCGAGCAAGTGTGATGCTTCCCCCCAGAAAGCCAAACTTCACCTGTCCTAATGCGATGCTCTGATTCCCTCCTTGCTCTCCTGAAAGCTCTGGCAGGCCCCACACTGAGCCCATCAGGTGGGATTACTTAATCCAGCCCTGACAAGTGGCACCAGCACCTGGGAGCGGGTCCCTTCCCTCTAATCCCTCGCTGCCATCCGCCGCCTCGGCACGCGCGGGGCAAAACAAGCAGCGCGTGAGCAGACGGTGCCGTGTCCATCCTCCCACTCCAGCAGCCCCGAATTAAACCGCCCCGTTACCTTCTTCCCGTGAGTTGCCCCC